AGGGAAAGGAGGAGAAATACAAGAATATTTGTAAAATTTTCTGGTTTAAACTGTCAATTCAAGTTATGTCACTCAATTTGTGTATATATCTATCTATGTGTGTGTGTGTGTGTTTGAATTCTTGCATTTAAAAGCATTTCATCTCAACTTGAAACTAATGCACTTAACAGTTCAACTATTACTCATTTTATGTAAGACTTTCCTTGAAGTCCCTGAGAACATGCAAAGGGACAAGTGGTAGGGTGTACAGGTAACAGTATTGCTAGTATTATCTTTTTTAATTTTTTAAAGCAATTTCACCCTTATGACAAGGTAGTATAGAGTAGTTGTAGGGTTATTATACTCCTGACTGCTAGGTGAGTCCATTCTGGTTTTTTTCTCCTGATTTCATAGGAAGAACACTGGTAGCTAGAGTCAACCTTGGAAGACAGAAGCTTGTTTCAACTATTTGTAGATGCACCTCTATTGCTGCAGAAAGTCTGTTTACTTGTATTAACCTCTCAGCTCTTCCCCATTTTAGCTTCCTTGTACTCCAGAAACTCTCCAGTTACTGACATACCATTAAGTCTAGCTTTGAGTTCAGCTCAATTTCCTCTAGCAGTAGGTCTTAACATCTGCAGCAGTCTTGGTATTTAATGACAGCTGCTATTTCAGAAGTCTCCCTACTGTTATTTATAATGCCAGCTTTATAATCTAATAATGGAGCTAGTCAGTGTTTATTCAAGCCTGACTTGCATGCTCAATACCTTCCCTTTGTTTGTTTAATTACCTGTCAGTTATCAAAGCAAATGGACTCTGTCTTGTAAACAAAGCACAGAACTGAGATTAGAGCCCAGGGTGTTCAGTGGTCCTGCAGCTAAAAAAAGTCCAATGGACTCTGACAGGACTGAACACCCTGCACATGCTCAATTTCTCCAACTGCAGTGGCTGTCATCTCCCATTCCAATGTTTTTTGCTGTAGGGACTGGGCTCTAATCTCACTTCTGTGCTTTGTTTACAAGACATAACCTTTGGTAAGTTGTTTAGTGAGCCTGAGAGTCCTTTCACTTCTCAGCAACCAGAATCATTAAAATTCTCACAACTGAGTATTACTGATACTGATTTCAAACATGTACCAAGAGTCCTAATCAGTTATTACTAGTGAACCTCGGTGCAAGGTGCCCTAAAGCTGCAAACTATCATTATTTTCCAGGTTGAGAGACTTGTAAGCAAATTTTCTAATTACTTTAGCCGTCAGCCATTCTTACTCTAAGCTGCTTAATGAAAGCTGAGGCCTGAAAATGCTTAAAGCAAAACATTAGTGGCACACCTGAGACTACATCATCTGTTTTTTCCCCATTTAAATTCCAGCCCTGTTGCTGCCAGAGCGCAGTGGCATTTACAGTGAATACCGAACAGGTGTACTGACATAACGCAGCCAAACTCCTTTCCTAATGCTAAACAATGCTGTGCTTTTTGTTTCTCCAACTACTCCCCATCAGCAATACAGAGCATGCATAGCATGGAGTCCCATTTTCATGCAAGCAGCCTGGGGCTTTTTGACAAGATAAGTGCATTGCTAAGGCTTGGCTGTAAGAGCCCCTGTGTGAGTTTTAGTTATCTGGTAGTGGTTCTGCTCTTCCGCTTTCAGTCCTTCCAAAGCTGAATGATCGATTCTGCCTTTGACAATCTGGCCTGCCAGATGCTTATTCCAATGCTGCGTTTCCCTCCCTTTCCCCAAGATGAGCAGAAAGAGCAGCACTTCAGCTGAAAGATGAATGAAGCTCTTCAGCAGTCTGTACAATCCATTACTTCTTGAAGGTGGAAAGGCAGAGAATAGATATTGTCTCAGAAACCATCTTGTGACGATTAAACAGTTCACTAAATTTACTGCTCTCAAACAAGTAGAGAGGAACACGTGGGTGTTCTGTCTCCTCTGAATCATCTTGTATGGTTCAGATTCCCAAGTATCACAGGACACTACATGCTGTGCATAAACCCTATTAATCTACATTAGAAACATCATGTTATCCTGTAAGCATTCAGAGCATGACATGTATCAGATGACAGAAGCCCACACAAAGAAATATATGAATACTAATATCCCCTTTCTAAATGAAATACGTCCCATCTGCCTCTCAGGAAAAAAATGCAATCATTTATAGCAAAATTACAACTGCCTAGAATTTTAGTATCTCAGAACAAAGTCCTACAGGGGAAAAGGCTTACATGTTATACTACCAAATTACTGGGTAGCCAATACTCTTTTTTAAAAAGTAACAAAACCTTGAATCATTTTGATATTAAATTAGATTTTCAAAACACATACAAGAAAATACCGCTCACCTGAAAGGTCTCTTGCCAGCGTAATAAACTTGCACAGTATTCAGTAAAAACTTTTTAAGATTAAAAAGTAATTAATCAGCTGCAGATTCCCCTTAAAAAGAGCAGGTTTCCAAATGCATTCATTCTCAGAAAGCCAGGGAATAAATTAGGGATTAAACTGGTCCCAAATGTCCTCCTCCTTCAGTCTTCTCTTGCTCCATTCTTTCATAAAACACTTTATTGCATAACAAAACAACCCAGACCCAAAGCAACTTACAGACATAGCAGCAAGAGTCCAGTCATATAGGAGAATATTTAAATGAAAAGAGCCTAAAATAGCAGCTGACATACCTAGTGAGAGATCACTGGTCCACTGGGAACAATTCCTTGTACCTGGGAGGGTCTGCTGAACTAAAATTCTCATTTGCAGTCTACTTGTATTCACTAAACCTTCACTGTAACAACATCAGTTTTCTTCCTACCTATATTCTGTTCCTTCTGTGTTTAACCACCTTCCTTCCTAAGCAGCCACAAATATGTTCTATATCTCTAGACCAAAACTCTCCTCTTGGACTGCACCCCCAGTCCCAAAGAGGATTTAAAAAAAAGACTTTAGACCCTGTTTCATTAGCTTAGCTAATAGTATCTCAGGACAAGCAAGAACAACATCTTGCTGCTATGTCCAAGACATCAGAAGCAGAAATATCTTTTCCAGCTGTTCCCTAGAAATCTGTGTCATCCTCCCCTCCCTATCTTTTGTACTAAAGTAAATTCTCCCACAGAACTGAAGCAGGTATAATTTTCACTCAGAAACTGAGAAGTTTTCTGAAATTGCTTCTATTTGTCAACGTAATTTTTAAATCAATTTGTATTTTTCAAGCTTTTCCTTTATAACTACTGGTGATAATGAGAAGGTGAAAAAGAAATTCTGGATTCCAGCATATCCCCTCAACTAACATTCTAGAGGTTTTCACTTGCCCTTTTCTGTCTCAAGCAGAGGCCAGTTTTATCAGTCAGTCTCTCCAGTTGACTTAAAAGAACTGCAGCAGTTCCGATACTGCACGTACCTCTGGCAAAATGAACTGCTCTACTGGCTTGTACCACAACCTGTTCACTTGCACTCCACAGCTTGGTGGACTAAAGCGAGCACTGAAGAGAGCTTCCTGTGAACAACAGAAAAAAAGAAAAAAACAAAACAAAAAACAAACAACCCACACATTAAAAGTGCTGTGAGATTATGCAAATCTTGATCACCTCAGTTACTTACAATGGAAAAAGGCTTATTGATTGTACAAAACTGAGTGAAAGTTTTATTCTCACAACAGTCTCAGACTCCACAGAATTTAAGTGCTGGATTGATATGGTGGAAGCAAGTAACAATGGAACAAGCGTGTAAATTCAACTAGAATCCAACCAACAGAGCACATCATTTGGAAGACTCAGACTCCTCTCAGTTTACAGACTTTGTATCTTCTGTTTAAACAGCTGACTACTATTAATTGCACCAGAGGATGCTGACCTCAAACTTAATTGCTACTATATTATTCAGGCCATCAAATGGCTTTTATAATAACAAATAACATAAAGATGCTGCATTGTCAGCTTCACAACCTTCAGAAAATAGTCTCCCAGCACTCCTATGATACCAATTTTTCTCCTTTACTGGAAGTAAAAAGCTAATGCAGATCAAGTTATTAGGTTCTCAGTGTTTAGAATTCTACCATTTAGCAAACATAAATCTGATTACAGTACTTTTTTTTTTTTTTTCTATTATAAACCAAACTCTGTGGAAGTTCATCATAAAAGCCATACTTCAGTATACCTTCTGTACTTAATTTTAATTATTACCTTAAATTTTAAGTTCTTTCTACTGTAGCATAGCCAGAAGTCTTAAAATTAGCTTATCAAGTTATTGGTAGAGATAAATGCAATATACCAAATGCAACAATCATGCTCAACTAATTTTTTCCTCCAGGTTAGCACTAAGCTATTCTAACCCATAACAGCTTGGGAGTGGGGGAAATTATCACTGAAGTTTTATTATTACCTGTAAATAATACTAGTTTCTAGAAATCTCTTAACTGTCGGGCCAGAAGACAGACAAGAAAAAATTACAGCTGTCCTCTATCTCTCTGCTTGAAGGCACCACATGTGTCTTTCTGCACACGTTTTAAGTATATTCACCAGTTTATTTTTTATTCCTTAATACCTACCAATACTTTAGAACCTCAAATGCAATCAAAATTGTGTCTTGGAATGAGATATAAGTACTCTTTCAAAAGGGCACTTAAATTAACTCATAGCACTTTGTGAATTTAATCTTTTCCTCATCCAGAATGTGTGTGTGTGTATATATATATATCTGTGAAATAAGAATTACAATGCAACAGAAGAAAGACAGAATTCATATGCTTGTCAGTTAAGTACTTCTCTTCTAAATCATCAATGCAGCATGTTGCTTTCTGTAAGAACTTAATCCACAATAAAGAGACAACATGCTCTAGTCCACTTTCAAAAGATAACTACAATACTCTACCTCATGTTCTGCCTGGTACAGTTTTACAGTGATGTTCCTCTGGAATCCCACCCCATCAGCCTCGTAAAACACCCCAAGACTTGTAATGACAATGGGGTAAAGTACACGAAAGTTCACACTGACAATTCTGTCTTCAGATAGCACAGAAGGAACATCCTCAGGGAGACTGAATGCTTCAATTTCCTGATTCAAAACTGTACGGAAAAGAACAAACAAAGGTAATGTGAGAAGACTTCATAGTTCTTGAACTGGATACACACAGAGCACACTGGATACACACAAAGCATTCTGATTAATTAGCACATCTCACAAGTGCACAAGGATAATCAAATGCTGGAGGAGAAGAAAATACAACTGGCTGCAGACTGCAGCTAGAAGAAACTCAGAATGATGCAGCAATCTGCAGGCTACCAGGAATTGCAAGTCAATGCCTACATGCCCACAGGGAAAAGACTAGACACATAATAAATCCAGAGTGAAGACAAAAATGCTATTTGACTGCATGAATATCTGTATATTAGCATATTGCAATAATTATTAATGTATCAAAAGGGCATACCCTTCCACTTAATTTGGCTGCCTGCTTTTTGGCATTATCACCTCCCTAAGCCCCAAAGTACCATTTATTCTTGGGAGAATAGTTAAGCAGTGGATGTTGCCATTCAGAGAGAAAGTAACAGAAGTTTGATATTATGGTGAATCATTACTTAAGTGCCAAGCAGTCCTTAGTTAACTTGCAATTAAAGCAATTTTAGCTAAAAATTTTTGTATGGCAGCATTTCCTTTTTTCCCCGTTTCTTAATTGTTCTCTCTTTAGAGAGGAATCTGAAAAACCTATAAGCCAGACTTGTTTAGAATTCATTTTGTCACCAGAGAAGTCCTTCTGACACTCGAGACTCTGGCACCTTGCTACTTTCTTCACACAGGACACTAGACTGGGTCATTCCAGTTCTCTCCAACTTCATTTCACACAGGGATCAAGTAAAAATGCACATTATATGGGAGAGACTGTCCCCTGACACAAGAAAAATGCAAATCCATTAGAAGTCAATGGCCTCCCCTTCACACCTCCAAAGTTCTCTCCCTCTCAGCCTGCACATGGTGTTTACAGGAAGATTATGCAACTGTTAAGACAGCAAGTTCTAAGCAGCATTTATTTTCAAGATTGGCTGTCTCAGTTAAGCACCCCAAACAAGTCTCAGAAGAGATGATTAGTTCTAGTTCAGATCATAGAATTTTTAAAAGTTAACTTCTATACCTGGGTTACTGATGTTCAGAAGTTTGCAGGAGTAGGGGTCTTCTCTGTCTTCCACTGGCACAGCACAACCATGCGCACCTATTATAAACTTCACAAGGACACTAACATAATTTGGTTTTATTAACACCAGTTCTCTTCCCTCCTCCCTCCACCTTCAATAAACTTA